TGGGGATCCCATCCACCGAAAGGGGGATGGTGAACTGTCCAACGCACACCACGGGGACTTGAAGTTGTTCCCCGGTGGTGTTTGTCTCCGTGCCATGTCCGGCGTTGCTGGAGGAGGCCATGAGTGTTGGGTTTTTTGAAGAAAAGGGGTTATGAGAGTTTGGAGGGAGGCTTTTTGAAGCGTTCCCACAGATGGCGCCAATTGATGATGCGCAATCCGACCGGTCTCAGCTGTCAACGACCTTGGCTCTGAACTGAGTAGCAGGGTACTTGAAATGGAGGAGATGAGGAAGCTCCGGGGAGAACCCGGTGTAAAGGCTCCGAAGCTTAAGTTGAAATCCTTCAAAGGCAAGATAAAACCAGATAGCGCAAAGTTTGCATACCTCCTCTTTGGGGGAGTCGAGAGCCTTTTATAACCACCTCGCGCACTCACTCCTAGACTTCTGTCAGGTCGGGAATGATTACTTCCGTTCTTCTGCCAGTTCGGGCGTCATTGCCTCTGTTGGGGCAGAACCGTCACTGCTCTTTTTGTCGGAGCTGTCTCTGTAACTGGAGATGGCGGTGGTAGGTGGCCGTTGAAGTGCGGCCGTCAAGCGTAAGATCCCAAGTCAGTCAGGTGCGCCGCCCCTGGATACGGACTCCTTCGGTGTCAGGTACGGTGTGGTTCGTCCAGTTCAATGCTCTAAAGTGCCTGGAGCGGTGCACGAGGCGAAATCTTGAGTTCGGATAGGGGGGTGTCTCGAATTGTCATGAGACGGGCCAGTTCGGGTCTCTGCTTTGTGTGACGGGGCCAAAGAGAGAGTTCGGGCTCCTCGTAGGGAGTTCGAGCTCTAAGTAGGGAGTTCGGGCTCCTCTTAGGGAGTTGCTCCTCGAGGGAAGTTCGGGCTCCTCTTAGGGAGTTCGGACCGTTGGTCTCTCCCCTTTGGTGTTTTGTACCCTCGGTATGCTGTTTTAAGTGCTGAGCTACTTGTTTTTTGCCACGTGGCGTGATTTGCGAGGTCGGGCCAAATCTTCCTTCATCAATAAGTAGTATAAGTTTTGTTTGTTTGCATTGAATTAATTGTCTTTGGTTTTTCTATGAGTTGGATATCATGTTGTTAGGTTTGTGAAGTCGCAATGATCCCTCTTTCCATGAACTTTTTCATAATTATATTTTGTCAGATTTTCTTTGTTTGATTGCTATGTATTGTATTTGTTAAGAGGTCCTCGTAAACAATTCATGTGGATTTGTGAAAAAGTAAGCACCAAAAAAGTATTTTAGAGAATTGCACATGGAAGAATTTGGATCTATTAATCTAATTTTAAGAGTTAATATTAGATTAATGACCTATTAATAAACTATTAATCATTTAATAACATATTAATTAAATAATATAATTAAAATAAATTAATAAAAATATTAAACATTTTAATAATTAATTAAGTAATTAATAAAAATTTATTTTTATTATTAATTAATTCATAACAAATATTAATAAATAAATTATTAATTAAAAACTTAAAAATTCATAATTAATTAACTAATTAATGATAAAATTAATTAAGAAATATTAATTATTAAAAAATAATTAGTAAAATATAATATAAAATAATAAAATGTAAAAAGTTTCCACCCGTTTTCCTTTTTCTCATTCCATCAATTCCCACCAAAATATTCCTTGGACCAAAGGCGACTTTTACACGAATCCATGCAATGGTGCTACTGACCTACTGCTACAGAAACTTGATCAAAGGCGGGATTCGATCCCAAGTCTCCTCTATCACCAGCAGGAGACCTTACCAAGTGGCCAGTTGGCACCTTGTAAAGGTTTGCATGACTAAAAACCCTAGCTTTCCCTCCCTTCTGCCGCTGCTGCTGTTGCTTCTTCTTCCCTTCAATCTCCATTGCCAAACCCAGGACCTTGCGACTTCACCACCGACTAAATCTCCTCATCGGTTAAAACAGCGGTTGCAGCCCCTATTTTGTTGAAGAAGTCCTGTTCGTGTGTCCGAACTAGGAAGAAGGACTGAAAAACCAGCGTCTGTAACTCCCTTTTTTCACCTATTTCTCTGTCATATTCGGTTACGCCCTTCTTTTTTTTAGACAGAAGGGGGGGTTTATAACAGGTACGCGGACCCTGTTCAGCGTCTGTAGCATGTTTAATTTGATTTTGATGGCTTATGGTGGATGGGTCTTTGTGACATCTAGGCGGTGCTCAATAACTTGGAACTTGGAAGATGCACATGAACTAATCGATACTGTGGTCTCAACATCTTTGAAAGAAAGCACACCAGTTTATCTCAGCGTTAGCTGTAATTCGGCGGGCATTCCTTATCCTACTTTTAGTTGAGAGCCCCTCCTGTTCTTCCTGTCTCCTAGGTAATTTCTTTTTTACATTCATCTCCAAATTACATTAGTCTTGTAGTCTACAAGAATAAAACGGTAGATCATAGAGAAAGAAGTGCTCGTATTTCTTGGAGTCTCTTGTTATAGATTAAGCAATCAAATGGGTCTTGAAGCAGCAGTCGTAGAATGCCTCGTTGAATTAAAAATTGCTTGAATATATTGTGAGTTTGTGATTGCTAAAATTGTTTGAATTAAAAAATTGTGAATTTGTGTTTGTATATGTTGTCAATTTATTATTGTAAATTAAAAATTAAAAATTGTATTATGCCATTATAATTGCTAATCTAAAATTTTATGGTATACTCGTAATGTTGTTATCTTGTCTAGAGGTTAAACTTAACACTACTATATAACATTTCCTTGTGGAAGAGAGAGAAACCCGATTTTCCATTCAATCTCTTTTTCTTTTTCCATTCCAGTGGATAATGTACAGTAGTCGGAATTTTCAAGTCTCCACAATAACCTGGCAACTTCATTCTCTGATACTCAACCTCTTAGAATAGAATGACAGCCCAGTAACAGCTTCTACATCTCAATATCCAACAGCGAGCAGAGGACAAAGGGCAACAGCTGCAGCAACCAACGCCCGAGTCCTGATGGTGACCTTCAGAAATAGAAGTAGAAGTTAGCAGACGGCATGACTTCTAGTCTTGTTCCCATACTTCGTTACCCTTTTTTGTGGATTTGGAATTCTAGATCATAGGTGGCATGTACTACTTCCATCTCTTCTAGTCTCTTGATGGGTTATCTTTTACTTGACTGTTTTTACTTTGAGTTAGCTTCTTCCACTATCTTTTAATTCTCGAGAGAAACTGCTGTAAGGGTTTATATTTATTTATTTTTTTGATTGGTATGTGTTTGAAGAATCGTTCATGAGCTTGTGTTTTGGGAAATTCTCATGGTATACATGTACCCAAGAGTAGCTGATCCTGTATGGTTGTGACAACTGACAAGGATTAGATGATGATGTTACTTGTACACAAGAAAATACCAGAAATCACCCAATTTGACTCATTCAGTCTATTGGCTTCTTGTTTTTATTTTAACTTGTCTTATTAATTATAAATATTTAAAAGTTAAAGTTGCCTATTAAAAGTAAAATAAAAGTTCAAAATTTTAACCCTTTTTCTGGTAAATGGTTCAAAATTTTAACCCTTAGAGTGCTTTGTTTTTCTTTTTCTTTGTAATTATAGTTGGGCTACGTAAATTTGATTCTAAATACTCTCTTTCTTGCTCGAAAAGTCTATCTGATGCAAGTAAGGTTCACTCTTTGATATTTTATGTGCTTTTTTTCTTTGTAATGTGATTGCATCTACTTGTTTCTCTCCACTCGATCAGCTGGCAGAAGATCAAAATCCCCAACAGGCTCTGCACCTAGATTGGAGACTATGGGTGTGGAATTGGCAACCGAAAGACCTGGATTCTATGAAATGGCAGATATTGATGTTAGCGATTCAGAGCTGGTCTACCATGTCCGTGATGCCCTAAAATCAGTATCTCAAGTAAGTAGCTTAGATTATACATACTTGACACTTCTTATTTATTTATTTTTAACATTTCCCTCTTTGGTAGCAAAGCTTGAGCTTTGATTACCCACCATTTCACAATTGTTGAGCCATTTCTCCATAACAAGGGTTGACTAAACTGGGAAACCCCAAATCTATGTTTTCATTCATAGTTATCTTTTCTCTTATTTGATCAGTCTTACATGGTCACTTAAATTGGTTGTGATTCTTTGGTACCTGAATTTTTTATTCTTAGGTAATTAAGCTGAACCATATTGTTATTAGGCTTTTGATTATAATCACTTCTCATACTACATAAACTTTGCTTATGTGATGTTAATACTGTCAATATTGTTGGGTGGTCGATAATGAGCTACCGGTGTGAAAGAAATATAACAGGAGAAGTGTGGTTTTAAGCGCTTAATTGCCAATTATTATTCTTCATGTAAGTCTTCAGCAAAATACAAAAGGGAAGGAAAATTTTGCAAGTTGTTCATTGGGTTGTAGGATTTTCTTTATATGCATAATCAAAATCTTTTTGGATATTTTTATATTGAATTGCATGGCTTATGGTTAGCTCAAGGGTTGGTTGTCATTTGTCCTTTGAAGCCACATGAATGAGAATGGGATGTGATTTTGATGTAGACACAGACACAAAAACATGCACATATTGACGTATAAATAGTGGATATCTTATTTTCTATTTTTTGTATTCTTGTTTCTATTTTACTTCTTTCTTATCTACTTGTGTGGCATGTTCTCTTTAAAGGTTTTATTCAATATATCACATCACTTCCTCTAAATGATTCATCTTTTATCTTGAAGACTCTGCAAAGTAAAGCCATTGCTATGCTATTTGTCAACTTGTACTGAGGTTATGATCTAGGAAATTACAATAGCAATTAATATGATACATGCAATCTAAGTAATTTATTTTCTTGGTAATCTATATGTTTCTTGATGAATTTGTGATAAGCATATCAGTGGGCTAATGGTTTTTCAATTTCCTTAATAGCTGATTTACTGTTATAGGGTGATAGTGACCGTTATAACCAGTTGATTGCGGTTATGCACTATACTGGACGTCTTGCTCCTGATGAGGTGGCAATGCTTGTGGTAGGTTATTTTTTGGGTTTCATATGTTTTGCTTGACGCGTCCTAGCTGATAATGCAATTGATTTATCTTGTATTTTATTTATCACTAAAGATCTGATTACTATTGCCATGTTTTCCCCACATGTGTATTCCAGACAAGTTTAAAGGCATTATCAGGATCTATCTCTTACATTGACATCATTCACCATGAATCTCTTCTCTCATCTGTAAGTGTGTACATGCATATTTATATATGTATTTTTATATTTGTAACTATTCATGAATGCTTTCTCACTTTCAGTTATATTTCAGATTTTTGGGATGAGTATGTGGAACTATGGACCTGATGTAATGGATGCATTAGTTGAACTAATTATATCTTTGGTATGTAGCTTTTGATTTAGTATGCTCAAGCTAAAATAGTTGATTGGGATTGTTATGATGATATTTTTCTGGTTTGTTTGTTATGATGATTATTTACTATCATAAAATTTCAGGCTGCTTCCAATGGAAAGTTTGTTGATTCATGTTTGGACATGCTTGTTAGAAACTTCATGCCACCCAAATCTTACTTAGATTTACTTGGTCATCCTCGTGGTCTTGCAAGAAAACATGAAGTTCTTGATCGGGTGCATTCGGCTTTAAGCCACATAGCTGATTTGGTGCCTCTTGCCCCCATGAGGTTAACTCCTATAATTCTCCAGAGAATGCCACACATGTTTGACAAGGAAGCTGTGAGTCCTAAACCATAAGATTTTCATTGTTACTGTTTGCATGATTTTCCATCTCCCTGTTGGGACTAATAGAAAGTTGTTGTTTATTAGAATTAATCAAACTATGCATCTACTTTACCTGTATTAACATTTGTCCATGTAATGCATACTTTGTATTTGTGTTTTGTATGTTTATGTAATTAGTTTATGTTGCTGAGTCCTGGGTTGGGAACGTTGCTTTGTTCATGGCCTTAAGCATATGTTGTGTTGCTGATACTGATCTGAATTCCATTTTAGCATAGGGTGGTCATGCACACTTTGCTCAAAGATATACACATTTATTCTGTTGTTAAGTAGGGGTCATGTCATTGATCTAGAAGTAAATTAAAAATATACGTTGGCCTTAGGATAATATTGTCACAATGTCCAAAGTTCTATTTTCATGTTAAATATTGACGATATTTATCTCCTGTCACTGCTTATTTTTTTATTTGTATCATTAAGAATTACTAGTTATTTGTAACACAATGTCCCTTAATTTTTTTCATAATTTACTCGAATCAGATTTTGTTTTTGATATTTGGAACAAGTTGTCTCAACCTACTGGGGACATATATCTGATGTACAACTATCATTTTTAGCATAGGAAAATTCCATATATTTATATTGCTTGGCTTAAAATTGACAATGAGACCCCCTGAACTTTAAGATAAAATTTCCTTGTTTGGTGGTTTTTCTTTCATTTTCCCTTTATTTACAAGCATATATCTTTGTTTTAAAAGCCACTTTTTGCATGGCTTCGTTGTAATATGTTCTATATTATTAGTGCTGCTTCAGTAAATAAATTGTAGAGTACCCAAGTTACCACAATATGAGTATCCTCTTTGTTACTTATATGAAGTTCAATGCTTTATATCATGGAACTAAGACTACTTATTTTATTTTCTTTAGCAATTCTTTTTAGTTAGAATGTTGTTGTAAATCAATAAGTTAATATATATCTACTTGATCATGTAGTTGATTGTGATATATGTGGAGAGCATGTTGCTGCTGGAGAGCAGTGCACTTGGAGAGCTTGTTGGGAGCACAATGCTAATGGCATTGGTGGACAGGCTTATAGATTTAGATGTGAGTACTTGAATTTTCTATCACTATACCAGGTTTACCTTTTGATATTGGGCAATAAAATTTAAAGATGACCACCCCTTTTTCCTAGACTAAAAAAATATTGCTATACTGGGTACAAGATGGATATGTAACTGTTTTCTTCAATATATTTATTTATCTTTTCCATTTGGATTTCTAGGTGGAGATATCTTGGGATGACATTATACATGAAGACTCTGGTAAAGGGATCTTTGACATGGAACTAGAAGATGTGGATGATATTATAGACCATGCAGAGATAGATGGTTTTGAGGTATGGTTTCTTCATGCATTTACATTTTGCGCATATGCATTGGTTTTGTAAGTTTAGGAGCCCTTGTTCTTGGACATTTTCTTGTTTCTATTTAAGTGAACCCCAGTCACCCTTTTTCTGTGCGAAGTGTCTTATAGAGTCAGGTTTGATAGCTTCTTCCAGGTCTCTCCTGGTGCAAGTACTCAGTGTGAAAATTAGGGACTCCAGCATGGATGTGTTTATTTAGAATATTTATTAGCAAATACCAATATAATGGGGGTTTTTCTTCAGCACCCAAGAGGAACTGCTGGCAGTCAGATTTTGGGGACCAATGCAGTTGCTGACAAATTAGATAGTTTGATGGTACTCATATGTGAACATCTTAAATCATGTGCTGATGGCGAACGTCTGACAAAGGTAATAGTAATACCAATAGTGTATTTTTATCATTGGTATTTCTTCAATAAAGACATTTTTATCCTTGACATTTGGCCTTCTGATCTGTCTATGCTTTTTACTGAGTTAGGTGTTCGAAACACTTCTTCAGTCTTTTTGGGTAACCGTCCTCAATGCATACAAGTCGAAGTTTTCCCAAGTAATTCTTGCTGAACTTCAGCTTGTTTGTTAATGTTCATGATTTTTTGATAGTGTAGAAAAATTCATAAAATAGAAAAGAAAAAAAGGGAATTACAAGGATTTTTGATTTTCCATATTTGTTTCATATACTCCTTATGGTATACTTTAAAAAGTTATTGTCATCTTGAATGGCTTCTCTTTTCTGAGCTAGCATTTGAAGCATGCACTAGTTAGGGTAACTTCCAATCTAATACATAGACATGGTTACCTTCTTACTGCAGTTTGTAATGTTCTATGCCTGCTCGCTGGATCCTGAACATTGTGGTGAGAGATTTGCAGTTTTTCTTGCTGATATTTTTGTATGCAGAACCCATCCCGCACTTACAAGGTAAATTAGAATTTGCTTTTAACATATGTAAAAGTCAGAGATGGATGGGGTAACTTGGAACTTGATTTCAATAGGCTTGTGTAGTTGCTTTACTAAATGCTACAATTGCTTGGTCTTGTATTGCATATGCATAACCGAATTCTTATTACTGTTATACTTTGTGATGGAGGTTCTCAAATGATTCCACAATTCATTTGTAATGTTTTGAGAGTTCATTTGTCTTTCTCAATTTCTTTTCTTTTCTTTTGTTTTGATTACAGGATGAGTGCTGTTGCTTACCTTGCTAGTTATTTATCCCGTGGGAAGTTTTTGCCACTCTCCTTGATTGCCAGCACATTGAAGAGGTCTTGTATCATTTTTGTTTCTTTTTATTAAAACATCATTCTGATGTGTTGAAAGCAAATATTATTGATTCGATTCATTCTTTCATTCACTTTCTCTCAGACTAGTGGATTGGTGCCTCGAATATTGCCATGTTCAGAATGGAGAAGAGAAAACTATAAATCTGGAAGCTCATAGAGTGTTTTATTCTGGATGCCAGGTATGTTTTAATCTAACTATGCAGTACAAGTGACAGACTTCGGTTCTAAACAATTGTATTTTCAAGGATTTTGAGATAAAAAGAGACACCGCAACAGCCCAGTAATGCATGATTGTATTGTCTGTTATTTTCGATTTTGTCAAATTGGTAGATTTCTCTCTCCAATAACATATTTTTCGTAGCCCATTGATGTCTAGTTGGATGGTATAAAATCCTGTTTCTGTTTTACTCTTTCATCAATGAATTGTTCTATTTGTAAGTTTTTTTTTTTAATATTTCATTAATCTACTATTTACCATGTATTTCTCCACTGCCTTCCAGGTCCTCCCTTAACTCTCGGATGGTCATATTTTAGGTGTTATTGATCTAGGCTGTTGCATGTTTGGGCAATTCTGCTTGGTAGATATTCCTGGGCAGAGTCCACACCATTCCAATGAACTATTTGAGTGATTTACTTCTATTGCTTTGAAATGGCAATGTTGGCTCTTTTCCAGATTTTTTTGTTTTTGATGAATGAAGAAATTTATTAAATCAGAAGAAACACCACTGAAGAGGCACGAGCTGTTACCTCTTCAGAAAAGTATTACATCAAAATAAAACAGAATTAACCATAAATAAAATTACAAAGCAGCCCAAAATAGCTTCTCCCTTGTAGCCCCCTGCTTAGCTAACCCATCCGCTAAGGTGTTTGCTGATCTTCCCACCCATAGAGAGGTAACAGTCATATTTCTTGTAAGCCAGTTTACTCTCCTTAATAAATCTCTGTGTTGCCACATGGCTGAAGCTGGGTCTTTCAACCATCCCACCACAATTTGAGAGTATCCTTCAACTACCAAGTGCTGAACCCCTAATTGTTCTGCAATCTGAATACCTTGTACCGCCGCTAAAATCTCAGCTCTATTAGAGTCTCCTATTCCCACGGGGCCTGAGAACAAGGCTAATATGTTGCTCTCCATGTCTCTCAGCACCCCTTCTATCCCCGATGGGCCTGGGTTTCCTTGGCTGCTGCCATCAAAGTTCAACTTTACCCATCCTTCAGGCGGATGGGTCCACACTACAATTTCCCTGTCCTTCCTTGTATGGCTGTTAGCCACCACTACCCAGTTTCTCCAAATATCATCAAAGGAAAAGGTATGAAAGAAGTCCAAAGTTCTCAACCAGTGAATGACCCTAGTCAATATACAATCCTCAACGGCCTGAATGCTTCTTTCTTTTTCTTTGGAAATCCTTGCGTTCCTTTCTTCCCAAATTGTCCACAATGCAGCTGCTCTAATACATCTCCACATCAATTTTCCTTTTTTTTGTAGGCCACACAAAAAAGGAGGGATCGAACAATTGGCTTAAGTCTGTGGACAGATTCCACCTATACCCAAATAAAGAGGAAATCCAACTCCAAATAGCTCTAGAAAAGGAACAAGATACAAGTAGGTGGGAGCAATCCTCACCACTAGCCTTGCAAAGTACACACCAGTTAGGGGATAAACACATGAAAGGCCTTTTCCTCTGCAAGAAATCCAAGGTATTAATCTTTCTATTCTATAAAACACCTCCCAGCAGAAAATAACAACTTTAGGTGGAACAGGTCTAGACCAAATCTCCTTAGTTGGAAAACCCCACTTACTCAAGGAAGAGCAAAGAGCCTTGAAAAAGGATGCACAAGAAAAGTAACCTTTTGGATGAGGGGACCATAATCTCACATCCACACTAAGAGGGTCCAAAAAGACATTGCCAAGCAGAGACAACAGGTCTGAAACACTGTTAAGTTCATCATCCCTCAACCCTCTCCGAAAGCCAAGGTCCCAACTTAAGGATGAGGGTGAAAAAGGAGAAGGGAGAAAATGAGAGACAACTTTTTCCTTGTAAAGGGAAATAGAATAAAGGGACGGAAATTGGTCCTTTAAAGCAACAAAACCCACCCAAGTGTCTTCCCAAAATAAAACAGAGTTACCAGAGTTGACATCATACCTTACAGGGTTGAGAAATTGAGGGAGGATACTCTGGATTGCTTTCCAAGGAGATGCCAATGTTGCTTGCCGTGATACACCCGCATCCCATCCATTTTCCAGTCTGCCATGTATACTCGCTATCACTTCATGCCATAACCTCTCCCTTTCTCTACGCCATCTCCACAACCATTTTCCTAAGAGGGCTTTATTCTTGAGATTTAACCTTCCTAACCCCAGTCTACCTTCCTCTTTGCTCCTACATACTATTTCCCAATTAATTAAATGATCTTTCTTTTTCTCCTCTGGCTCCCAAAGAAAATTTCTCATTAATCTCTCCAACTTCTTAGCCTCCCTATTAGGAATCCTAAAAACAGATAAGAAATAGATCGGTAGGTTCGCTAGGGTGGGTCTCAATAGTCACTCTACCCCCTATAGAGATAGTTCATTTTCCAAGCAGCTAATCTTTTCTCAAACTTTTCCAAAACTGGGTTCCAAAAACTACTCTCTTTTGGATTAGCCCCTAGAGGGAGACCTAGGTACTGCAAGGGCCACGAAGAGACAAGACAACCTAGACAATCTGCCACAGACTGAATACTCTCCTCATCCATATTGACTCCTACCACACAACTCTTATCCATGTTTATCTTCAAATTGGAAGCCTTCTCAAACTGCTGTAACAATGCTCTAAGGTTCCTCACTTCTTGCCTGTCACCCCCTTCACAAAATATTATGATATCATCAGCAAATTGTAGATGGGTTACCCGAACATTATTCCTTCCTATCCTCCAACCACTCACCTTCTGTTCCCTATCTGCCTTAGAGATTAATCTACTGAAAGCATCTGCCTCTAAGGTGAAAAGAAACGGGGAGAGTGGGTCACCTTGTCTAAGGCCTCTACAGGCTGGGAAAAAAATCTCTGGCCATCCCATTGACCAAAGACTGAGTAATGGCAGGAACTAATACATCCCTTTACCTAGTTGCACCATCTATCTCCAAAGCCACAACACCCAATGATCTCTAGTAAAAAACTCCTATCCACAAGATCATAAGCTTTCTCTAAGTCTAGCTTACATGCAAAACCTTGGCTTCCCGACTTTCTCATGTCCTCCACAAACTCATTTGCTATAAGGATCTGATCTATTATTTGCCTTCCTTGCACGAATGCACCTTGTGCTTGACTGATGATGAATTGTAGTACTATTCGGATTCTCATGGACAACACTTTGGCCAAGATTTTATAGATGCTTGTCACCAAACTAATCGGCCTATAATCCTTAGGGTGCTTTGCATCTATTTTCTTTGGGATAAGGACTAAGAAGGTTGCATTAACTCTAGGGCTTACCTTTTTTTATCTGCAAATTCCTAAAATATTCCAACAAGATCATCTTTAACCACATCCCAATAATCCTGATAAAAAGCCATTGTGAAGCCATCTGGACCAGGTGCTTTGGATCTATCCATTGAAAACACTGCATGTCTATCTCTTCTTCACTGAAATCCCTTTCTAACCAATTTTCTTGTTCTTCTGTTATCCTAGTCCAATCCAAATCTTCCAATGTTGGCCTATTATTCAATTGTTTCCTATAGGTTGATTTGAAGTGATCCACAAACAACATTGCTATCTCATCTTGATTTGTTACTTCCTCCCCATTCACCTCTAACTTGGCCTCAAAATTTTTTCTTCTCCTCCCATTGGCCAACGCATGGAAAAATTTTGTGTTCCCATCCCCTTCCTTAATCCATTTATGTCTTGACTTTTGCCTCCATGAAATTTCCTCTCTTAAAAGGGTCTCTTTCAAATCCTTCTTTAGGTTTCTTCTTATCACCCTTTCTTGCTCACTCATCATCCTTTGGGCTTCTTTGGAATCTAATTCCTCAATCCTAGACAATAAACTAATTTTTTGCTCCTCTACTCTTCCAAAATGTTCCCTGTTCCACTCCTTAATTTTGGATCTCAACCTTTTCAGCTTTTTGTGGAATCTCACTCCCTTCCATTTCACCCCTCTTAACTCTTCTCTCTACCACTCCCCAATCAGATGCACAAAGTCCGGGTGAGTCAGCCACATATTCTCAAATCTAAAAGGCCGTGGACCAGAGGTTATTGTTTCAGGGCTTAGCTGAATAGGGCAGTGATCAGAAGTGACTCTGGGTAATGCTCTAGCCATCAAGTTTCTCCAATGACTCTCCCAATTTTCATTAAAGAGGAATCTATCTAATTTCGAACAAAGAGGGTTTTCTTGGAAATTAGACCAAGTAAAGTTGGCTTGTAAGAGAGGTAATTCCTTTATGCCACAGTCACTAATAAATTCATTGAACTTTCTCATGCTGGTAGTAACTGTTCTTTGGGGGTTATTAGTTTCATTACAGAACCTAATTACATTGAAATCCCCCCAAGGCACCAAGGACCCTCCCATAAGCCTTGTATTCCATACAACTCTTCCAACATCTCATTCCTCTCTCTATAAGTGTTTGGCCCATAGACATTGGTTAGAACCCAAGTAAATCCATCCCCCACATTCCTGACCTTTACAGACACAGAGAATCTCCCTATTAGCTCCTCTACTAATTCTACCACATCTTCCCTCCATAATGTTACTAGACCTCCAGAGGCTCCCCAGGAAGGGGCCAATGTCCAACAAACTCCTCTTGATCTCCATACACTTCTCACCCACCTTTTATCCATTTCTGCCAACTTGGTCTCCTGTATCAACACTATGTCCGGTTTCTCTCTTCTTAGTAAGTCTTTGATGGCCCTTCTTTTTCTTTCGCTTCCCAGTCCTCTCACATTCCAACTGATGATTTTCATTGAACACTTCTTTTCAAAAAAATCCTTCCCAAAAAATTCCACCTTACAGCAGAATCTTTCTTCTTTCTCCTCTCCCACTAAATTCAATGTCACCCTCAATATCTGAAATCAACCTCTCCACTTCTGATCTCTTTTTCTTTTTCCTTTTATTATTACCCTTGGCCTTCCTAGATGATGCATTTGTTTTTGCCTCCCCTCCCCCCAACTTAGGACTTCTGTGGTAGTCCTTCTTTTGAGAAATTTCTGCTCTCTCCCTTTGATCTAACTCCTCCTTTACTTTGTACTCCAACAACTCACATATCATCTCCCATATTCTCTCTAATTCCTCCTCTTGTCTCTCTCAAGGGGCCACTCCTTCCTTTCTCAGTTCATTCTCAGGACTGCTAATCTCTCTTCTCTTCCCCGTGACTGGAACTTCCGCTTGGGATGCTGGAGTATCTGTTACAAGCACAGAAGACACATTAGTAACCAAAACCAAATGGACAATCATACCTCAAGGAACAGACTTAGGCCTTTCTCTTTTCCAGATTGCCATAGTATTATATGATTTTAGGGATGTGGTCCATTGTAGAGTGACCTAATGATTTCAAAGCTATGCTGCCTTTTTTTTAAAGAAGAAAATATATCATTATATGATTTTAATGACTAATGTTGTTTCTTTGTTGCCAACCAAGTAGCCAATGAAGGTTGGTCTACAAGCCCATGCATCTATAGTTCATGAGTGTTAGGTTAGAATTCCATCATTTGGACATGAATACATCGATGCAAACTGAGGGTTTATCTGTTCCTTTCTGTCACAGGCTATTATGTATGTGCTTTGCTTTCGTATGAGGTCAATGATGGATTCTCACCGTCTGAAATCACAGCTACTTCACATGCCTCTAGAACCAATATTTTGTCATCAATTGGATCCATTGAAGGTAAGATAAACCTCGGTACATCTATGCCAGTATGGATAACAAAATTTTGGAATTTGGATTGCTTTATACTTTAACATGCCCCCTAAAAGCTTGATCTGATCCGAGACTGATACATTGAACTAGTAAATTGGTCAATCAATCCAATTTGTCTAGTTGTATAATCCATAAGCCAAGCCTAATTGGCACTGTCACCTGGTCCATTTTATTTTTGTGTCAGAGTGCTGATCAATTGATCACTTCTGTTCACTTGGTCATCAGTCTAATCAGGTTAATTGACCTGCCATGATTTCTAGTTTGGATTTTAAGAGTAAAATACAATCAAGTGAATGTATGCTTGTTTATTACATTGTCTAGACCTTTATGTAGCTTGTTATTTTGTTTTCTATCCTAAACAAATGTTAACTGTATTCCAAAATGATTCTCTGAAAATGTCATGCAAAAACTGTATTGATGAATTATGGTTCAGAGTTCTTTGCTGATATTGAATGATCCCAGTTTCTTAAGTGAAGCTTCAAGTGGGGATCAGAAAAATATGGCTTCTTGCATAATTAATGAAATCTTCAAGTTATTGATAAAAGGAAAAAAATGATCCTGATATTAGGCTCTGATTTGCATACTTTTCTTAAATATTGTTGTAATCATTCATGGAGAGAGAGAGACGAGAGAGAGAGAAAGAGAAGAGAAGAGAAGAGGGAAAAGAGGAGAAGAGGAAGATATGATTGAGAGACACAAAAAACTATTCTGGTTGCCGCCAGTTTAGTTATTTATATTAACTTAATAACAAACTAATAAGAAAGAAAGAAACTAACTGGCTGACAGCACACTAACAACAACTGTAAAATAACAATTAAATAACCTCACAACACTCCCCCTCAAGTTGGGCTGAATATGTATATCATGCCTAGCTTGTCACATAACTCATTGTGCCGTGAGTATGAAAGTCCTTTTGTGAGGACATCAGCGAGTTGTTCCTTGGAGTTGACATAAGGGATGCAAATATCAATTTTTCCAATTTTTCCCTTATGAAGTGTTTGTCCACTTCAATGTGCTTGGTTCTGTCATGTAGGATAGGGTTGTTGGTGATGTTTATGGCTGCCTTCTTGTCACAGTAAAGAGACATAGGATTATGAACAACAACTCTAAGCTCCACTAGAAGATTTTTTAGCCAAAGGACTTCAGCCACCCCATGTGCCATAGCTCTATATTCAGCTTCAGCACTTGACATTGCTACCACACTTTGTTTCTTGCTTTTCTAGGTCACTAGGTTTCCTCTCACAAATGTGCAATACCCACTTGTGGACTTTCTATTATCCATAGCACTTGCCCAATCAACATCTATAAAGACTTCCATCTTTAGGTGATTATGTTTACTGAATAGTAGATTTGTTTCAGGATACATTTTTAAGTATCTAAGAACTCTTTCTGCTGCCTCCATGTGTGGTTTCTTAGGAGAGTGCATGAATTGGCTTAGAACCCCAACTGAATAGACAATGTCTGGGCGGGTCATGGACAAATAAATCAACTTTCCCACAAACCTTTGGAACTGTTTCACATCTTTCAGAGGTTCACAATCACAATCACCCAACTTGTGATCAACATCCATGGGAGTATCTGCTGGCCTTGCACCTAATTTGCCTGTGTCTTGTAATGGATCAATGGTGTATTTCCTTTGAGAAATGAAGATACCCCTTTCTGAGCGGGCGACTTCAATTCTAAGGACATACTTCAAGGGACCTAAATCTTTCACTTCAAATTTAGATGCAAGGAATTGTTTCAATTTTTGTATTTCTGAACTCCAATTTCTTGTAATGATGATATCATCCACATACACTATCAATACAACAACCTGTTCCTGACATCTCTTCACAAAGAGTGTGTGATCAGACTGACATTGCTTGAAGCCTACCTGCTAAACTGCCATGTGAAACTTACTGAACCAAGCTCTGGGAGATTGTTTTAAATCATAGAGAGACTTTCTCAGCTTGCACACCTTATTTTCACTTCCCTTGGCACAAAATCCAGGGGGTTGAACCATGTATACTTCCTCCTCTAGGTCACCATTAAAAAAAAACATTTATGTCCAGTTGATGCAATTCCCAGTCAAGGTTAGCAGCTAATGATAGGAGGACCCTAATTGAGTTCATCTTAGCTATTGGAGCAAAAGTCTCATCATAGTCAACCCCGTAAACTTGAGTGTACCCTTTGGCTACTAATCTTTCTTTGTACCTTTCAACTGTCCCTCTATCTTGTGTTTAACTGTAAACACCCACTTACACCCCATTGGGTCTTTCCCCCTTGGGAGATCCACCAATTCCCAAGTTTGATTTTTATGAAGGGCATTAATCTCTTCCTTCATAGCATTTGTCCATTCAGGGCATTTTAAGGCTTTTGCAACATTTCTGGGAACATGGATGCAATCAACTGCAGATAAAAAGGCTCGGTATGAGGGGGAAATGTGATCATAGGAGACATATTAGGTAGTGGGGTGTTTGGTAGTGCATGACCTGACTCTTTTTCTTTGAGCAATAGGAATATCAAGGTCATTCACAGTAGGAGTAGGAGTATCAGTAGGTGCAATAGGGTTCGGACTTACCTCCTAGGAGTCTAACAGTGTCGGTTGCTCAATGTTTGGCTGCTCCACATCTCTATCACATTGCTGATCTCTACGGCGTGTATGTTGGAAGACACGAAAGGGAGCAAGGTCCGGAATAGAAGGAAGAGAGACTTGGCGGACCTGCACCTGCTTCTCCTCTTCCACACTACTACTCTCCCCCTAAGGAGAAGTAGGGAAGAATGGTTCAGACTCAAAGAAGGACACATCCATGGACACAAAAAACTTATGACTAACGGGATCAAAGCATCGATACCCTTTTTGAGAGGAGGGATACCCCAGAAAGATACAAGGAATGGACCGTGGGTCTAACTTACCTTGAGACGGAGACAAATCATGGACAAAGGCACGACAACCAAAAACTCTCATGGGAATGGAGAATAAAGGGGACTGAGGGAACAACTGATGAGGGGCCATATAGTTCAGCACTCTGGAGGGCATACAATTGATGACATAAGCAGCTGCAAGTATAGCATCCATCCAAAACCTTTTTGGAACATTCATGTGTAACATCATCCCACGAGCTACCTCAAGGAGGTGTCTGTTTTTTCTTT